TAAATAAATGTTGTTTCTTGTGCTGATGTATCAGGGTGAAAGATGTGGCTTCAGCCCAGGCTACTTTGCAAGCTGAAACCCGAATCCGGAACAATCTTTAAAATCTTGTCATGTCCAAGAACTGAAGTTTCACTTCCAAGTCAGATTTGGATTTTTACTCGGTTATCTCAGTCATGTCAAATCTTTTTCCTCCCCTCACTCTTTCTCCACCCTCTCAAACAAACCAAATTCCCTTGTGTTAACATGCAGTCTTCTTGCTGACTCCCCAGTCATATTGTTTGTCTCATTGAGCTGTTTACTAGCTGCTCCCTTGGCAATGCAACTTTCTCTGCCTTTACTGTTCTTTTCCGTCTTTGGTCTGATCCTGTGCTAAAGAAATATCACATGATGCGCCCATGGTCTCTGTTGTTCTGAACTGTGTGGTAGAGAAATCTCACAGCTTTGCCAGAAAAGAATGTATATATACATATATATGCAGACAGAATGGGTATATGTACATACCTCATATATAATTTACATAAAAAATATGTGTATGTATTTTACACAAAACCACAGGGAATCAAGAAAGAAAAAAAAATCTCATGGATCAACCAGCCTAGCAGAAGCTTCTCAACATGTGCTATGGTATAAGAGTTTAGAAGTTAATGCATGTGCTGAGTCTTGCCCATCCTAGCCCGTCGGAGCTAAAGTACATACAGAATAATTTAGTGTTTGTGTATAGATCAGTGACAAGGGTGAACAGCATATTTTCTATGCATTACATGCAACCTTATTGAAAAGGAAAGGAGTGTATGTATGCATATGTAGGAGTAGAGAGGAATTCATTCAAAATTGGGGTGGGGGGTAAAAATATTTTATATTTGGAAAACTAAGTATTTGAACAGATAAATATTTGCTATGTAATAAAAAAAATTAAGTGTTATTTATGGGGAAAGGTTATTCTTCAGTGTTGATATCAAGAGGGTACAGTAAAGAAGTAGTCTCCAAATTCATAAACATTCAAGTTGCGTTTTAAGTTACTAACTTTCAATTAAGCTGAAAACAATGCAGTTGTTTGTCTCTGAAAGACAAAGATTTATGTTTATGACTTTCTGAAAAGTTACATTCACTACAGTACAGCAACTGTGTTGAGAAACAAGAAGAAACCACAGCTTCTCTGGAAAAATGCCATTGTTGATTAATTGCAGTATATTTCGACTGTGCATAGATTTGTTGCAGTTACCCAAGAAACACAGTGGTTTCATTCTTTGGAGATTAGCAACCTCTCTTGTGTGCTCAGGTTCTTTCCAGCTTAGTACACTGTTTCTTTTGAAGGATTTGTTTTCCTGGATTGAATTTAAGAACTCAGAGCACCTTATCACACTTTCGCAAGCTCACTCTCTAGGAGAGAAAGAAGAGGAGGGGAAAAAAGCCCATCAAGGCTTGTGCCAGTTAAATCCAAGCTCTCGGGGGATTTGTTTTTCTTTTGGCATCAGATTAGATGTTCTAACCAAGTGATGTTGTCAGGCTCGGGTAAGTGTCCACCTAACCCTTAATGAGACTAATCCCATAGCAGCACATTCCAAGCAACTAATGGACACAAGGGCTTCGGTCTCTCTCACATCTCTGTGCTGTGGATGGACTGAGCGCCTTGTTAAGGGGGCGGTCACAAATGTGTTATTAGCAGTGATCAGCAACAGGGAAATATGGACAGCAGAGTTTGCTCCGGACAGACTTAAACACCAAGTTTGATGCTCAGGTAAAGAAGAGGGAGAAAAATGTTTTGGTGGGATTTTGCAGCTACATTAATAAAGAGAGACTTAACCTACCGATCTAAGCTACAAGTAAACTAAATCCTAGTATAAGTATGGCATTTACTTTAGGAATTCGGTCTAGGATTTATGTTGTTTTAAGAATTAATGCGAAAGGAGTTTTTATGAAATAAGAAAAGGTAAGCTTCTTGCTCTGCTGTTCTTAAAAATAGTTTGCTGTATTTTTTCTAAACATTCTACTACTTTATTAATTCACATTATAAACAAGACTTTGATGCAGACTGTTTTGTCTTGAATGTGTTGATTTCCACAAGTTATTCTAATTTTGTTACGAAGACTGTAGGACAAGTAACATAATTTCTATATGTCTGAACACTCATTTCAAATTATCTGTGTCACAGAAAGATAATGTCTTTGGGCAGTGAAACCAGATGCTTTCTTTTTAGTTTGGAAGGGCAAGGAATTACGAAAAGAGTAAATCATGTATTTTGGCATTATGATTCTGTCAAGTAGGAGAGTATATTTTTTGAGACATAAAAGCTGGAAGATCTTTTTTCCTGATGTGAACAATAGGCTTTTTAAATCAGACTATTATTTTTGCAGTGCTACATTTGAAAAAGTATGGTGGCATTTCAAATGCAAGTTATTATATTTAATGTAGCTGGGTTTCTTTTCTACTTACAAAGACAGTATGAAAAAGAGTAAGAAAACAAATTTTAAATGTCAGTTTCTTGGGTTTTGAAAGTGTGCTTGTATACCTAAAGAAAAAGTGTTTTAGTGAAGTACCTGTTATGGCACCTTTTTGTAATGGATCTCGAGGCTTAGAGAAATTGAACTAGAGCCATCTTTAGGACAGATATATTGGGTCTATGTAGTAAGTAAATTCACCAAAGTAAATTGACTGCAGAAGAGTATGCAAAATTTATGGAATTTAATCAAGGATGTTTTTAGGGATCTTGACAACATAAATGATAATCATATGCCATGTGAGCTTTGCAGTAGGAGCTGATTTTGGATATTCTGAAGAAAAATTGTATTCTAAAAACTTTTAATGTTGCCTAGAGAAGATAAAGGATGTTGCAGGCATGTGTTTAGTGTTAAACAAGCATGCAGATAAAACTGGCATTATTCTATAAGTGTTCCTTTTTTGTCTGTGTGTATGTATATGTGGTTTTGTCTGTGTGTTCCTTTTTTTGTTATTCTGTGTATATACAGTTTACATATATATATATATGCAGACACACACCAAAGGGGATTCGTAAATCTGCTGCTTCTTATCAGTGTGTGTTCTTAAGGTAATAAAGAAAGTTTGTATGCTCTGGGAGTTTGAAGAGAAGTTTCAGGAGTATATGGTGCATACAGTAAAGTATGTGATTTCAAATGTTAGCACTGCAATACCAGAATAATCGTAACTTCCTTTCTTTCTCAACACAGTCAACAAAAAGAAAAAGCCTTATTTTCCCCATGTAGTTTAGCTTCAAAAGCTCTGCAGTAAGAGGGTCAAATGAAGTTCATAAAGTTCACTCTGGATGCCTTGACAGTTCTAGAAAGTTAGGCTATAAAAAGCCTTTCTTTGCCTGAAAAGACTACTAAGTTGACAAATTACTAAATGATACACTAGACTTGTAAGGTGATTTGACAGCATAATATAAAATATTGTAAAGATGATGATGATAATGACTGATGATGATTATTGCCTGCAGTTCTGTTTAATGTTTTTAATAGACTTTTCTTTTTCCTAACTGTAAAAGACATGTTAGGGTGTCTGCCATTCCTACAAAACATGAAGTCTAGCAAATATTTCAAATAAAAATACAAGTAGAGCAAAGATAAAATATTGTTATGTTACAGGAGTGGCCACTAGATCCAGTAAGGGATTACGTTCAATGAAAAAGGTAAAAGAATAACTTTTTATGTCCTCAGAGTGATAAGTAATGAATGTAACTAGAAATTCTTATTATGGTATAATAAATAATAATAATAAATAAAACCTAGCACATAATTTGTGCTAGGTTTCTGGGTTTAAACATGAAAAACAGGATGGAGATTCATTTGACAAGGTAACAGTAGCTACTTAGTAAGGTAACTTTAGTTGGTAAAGGTAATAAATAGAATACTATCTAACCTTACATAGTAAAAGGTAACATTAAGCAATGTTATAAAGGCATTTTCCTATTTCCTGAGGAAAGATGCTCAGGTTTTCTTTGAATTATCCAAAGCTCATTTCATGTTACTCAACTTTCAGTTAAATTTGTCATAGTTCATATTTTATAGTTCTATTTATGCTGTGCAAATAAACAGGTAATTTTATAATGTAATCTAAAACTTACCTGTTTGAAATGAATTTTTAAATGAAAGTTTCAACTTGTATCCTTATTAAATGAAATAGTTGAATTCTATCTGGGGAAATATTTTAGAGAGCTTGCCAGAATTCATATTGTATGGAGTGAGAACTATCTAGATAACTAAAAGAATTCAGAGCTCTGAAAGTCTCTTTTTCTTTCTTTTCTACCCATGATTTTTTTTAAAAAAGATCTCTTGTGTATCCAAAAATTAAGACTGCTTTGAGAAAAATGACTTGATTTCCTGCAAATATGTGAGGGAAGATACGGAGTGTAGCTTCATCGAACTCAGTTTTAGAGGTTACAACAGCTGGTCATCTGACTCTTAGCATATCAAAGTTTGTTGTGCCTGGTTTCAGAAACAGATCTTTTTTCTTTTTTCTTTTTTTTTTTCATTAACATGTCCACCTGTGAAACTGTCTTCTGGCTCCATGTTAAACAGCAATCTCAGTTCTTTGGTATTATGGTATCAAAAGTTATATTGTGTGATGCTTATTTTGTTTCTAGGATTTTTATTATTTTTTTAATTAGAGCTGACTTAGTTTCATCACTAGAAGGGAAATAGATTTAAGTATTTTCAGTGAATAAGTGTGTTTTTTCCATGCAGAAATCTTTGCAGTTTGAATCAGTTCTTCTCCAGTGATTCCTGCTATGAGCCAATAGATGACAGCAAGCATCAAAGTCATCTGCCTAGTGAATATGAGAACAATTTTAAGAGTTTTTGTTGGGTGATTAACTCTAGAAGGGAACTGCAGTTCCAATGGAAAAGGTTTGCTCTGTACAGAATGCGTACTGCATATCTGCAAAATCTGTGAAGTTTTCTTTCACGTTTGTAGATTCTCTTCAGTTGTACTAGGAAATGTGTCTAATAAACAAACATTGCTCATGGTGTTTCCTTTTTTTTTAGGCACAGAAATCATGGATAGAAAGAGCATTTTACAAGAGAGAATGTGTTCATATCATACCCAGCACCAAAGACCCCCATAGGTAATTGCATTCTATTTGTATGACAAATGAAAGTCAGTTGCAAGAAAATATCTCTATATATGTATGCATATATATGTATATGAAGATAAATAGTTTGTACTTACTTGGTCAGAAGGTGGTGGGATTTCATCTGGAGTGATGGATTCCTAGAGACACAGTAGTGTCAGTTCAAAACTTATTTCATCCTAAATTATTTAAAAAAAAACCAAACCAACAAAGAAATCAAAGGTGAATCAGTATCTGTGTTTGATTTCCTTATCTTCTTAGTTCAATATACAGTGGCTTGAGTATTTACTTAAATTGGATGCATGACACGCAATACTGTCAAAAGAAAATAATTGCCGTGAACTACCAACTTAAAATTCAACTCCATGCAAAAACTGTTTATTTGGCCTTACATCAGCTGTAAGACTGTAGAAAGCGTTACCTTCATTTTGTGCATATTTAGAACAGAATGATGTTATTGAAATAAAGGAAAGTCCAAAGTAAACAAGATCGTAGAAAGAAAAGGTAGTATGTTGCTTCTACAAGCAGAGAGTTCGTATAGCAAGAAACCGGGCAGCAGAGTTGAAAAGGTTTTGGCTTTTTATTAAAGAGTGGTAGGCTGTTTAAGATTGTTTCTCTGTTCGGTTTATACATGCAAATGACTGAAGTTTTCTGTTTGTTTAATGTCATAGGTGTTGCTGTGGGCGTCTAATAGGTCAACATGTTGGACTGACTCCAAGCATCTCTGTTATTCAGAATGAGAAAAATGAAAGCAGGCTTACTCGCAATGACATCCAGTCAGAGAAGTGGTCCATCAGCAAGCACACACAGCTCAGTCCGACGGACGCTTTTGGAACCATTGAGTTCCAAGGAGGAGGCCATTCCAATAAAGCCATGGTAACCATGTTTTTCTCTTAAATAATGCTGCTAGCTCAAAAAAGTCATTCACGAAGAATTAACAGCATTCTTTATTAATTTCATTTTAAAATGCTATTTAGTGTAAGACATAAAACCATATGTTTTTATGATCATGTGCCAAAGAATTGCTGAACAGAATTAACTGCAAAAGCTGGAGTGCAGCATAAGAGGGGCTACTGTTATGAAGACTGAAGACATGCTGATGTGCTGCTATCTCAATTTTCTTCCAATGGTTAGCTTTCCCTCTTTTTCTGAATAATTTTAGAATTCAACTGTGGTTTTCCATTGCTGGCTTTGTCTGCAAGACTGATAAATTTGAAACATACCAAATTTAATGTGCCTCCAGACATATATCAGAGGGTAGACCAGTTAGACTTACTGGTTCATCCCAATAAGTGTCCAAGCTAGGAACTGGGAAATCTCTATTCTGCCACAGATTTCCTTAAGCAAGCCACTTAATCATAATATTATGCTGTGGAGCTATACCAAAATATATTAATCTGAAGGCATTGCTGCACTAAGGTGGAGAGATGTTTTCAGCACCCACACTAACCCATACATGTATTTCTTCTATGTGTCATTACATGAAAGGACAAATCTCTCTGGCTTTGTCTAAACTGCAGAACCTGGGACTTAGGGAATGAATGCGTGCTTACTTAGTAGACTGTGGCCAAGCTACTTCTTTGGACAGCAGTAAGGGCAGAAACAGACCCTCTGTGTGCTGCACAGAATAACCTGCCCAGCAACCCGGTACCATCTTCTTTGCCTGAATCCTTCCCAAGGGGTCTCTCAGATCTCTCATGGTAATAGATGGATTACAGATAATACAAAACTCACATACTGTGCTAGCAAGAGCCAAATATTTTTCCCTGGATACATACATATGTGCTGGAGATGGAATGATTACTTAAATGGACAGTTCTTCTCACCCAGATGGAAGGCTTGTTTTGATAGAAACCAGAAAAAACTTTTGTACCAAGAAATAGATAGAAAATTAGGTCATTTCTCTGAGAGTATCACAGGCACCTTATGTTCTGTTGCTAACCACTCATCTAAAAATCTGCAAAGCCATTGCTAGAGAGAGACTCTAATGCAGTAAATAACATTTGCTTAGTGTGAATAAATTGACACCTCCCTCAGCACTAAAATGAACCAAACCGTTCCCACTCCTTGTTGGTATCTTCACAAGGAGTGGGAACAAAACAGAATGGTTTCACCAAAACTGAGTAATATTCAGAGATGTAGTAGCCATCATGCTATTAATCATATATGGATACTTTGTATTAAATCTGTCTTTATGAAAAAGGGTAATCGCTAGAGCTTTTTGAGTCATGTTGAAGATCATTATAAACCAATAAACGGCTCTCCCCAGACTAAAGTAGTCTTGGGCAGCCAAGAAATGATGAAGGGTTTAGGGAAGCTGTTGATACCAACTTCTGTAGAGGATTTCTGTTCTTTTTTTGGATTTTTGTGTCCTAGCACAGTGGCATAAGAGAACAGGAGATGCTCCAAGGTATATGCTGTGTGCTCAAAAAAAAAAAAAATACTTGGAGTGAAACTGTGAAGATGAAACTGGAAGTCAACATGAAGGAAAGAAAAATCTTGTCACAGAGTGCAGTCAGGAATGAAACCATGGAGAATTTAGAAAAACAGAAAACAAAAAATGCTTAAAAATCTGAGACTTAAGAGATCAGTACGGACAAAACATTTAGTGCTGGAAAACCCGTGAGTTTATTTTGATAGTACTAGAATCAGGAAGATAGTTGCTTCTGCCATCTGTTCTTAGTTGTTAAATTCCACCTGAAAAATGAGAACAACCAAATTCTTCATTAATTAAATAAGTCTATAAAAGCTCCAGAAATTCAGTCATCCCTCCGGTCGGAAAAGTGCTTCAAATTAAACAATTCACTAAATTTCTCTTTAATTGGTGTCCTGTCTTGGACACTACCAATGAGAAAAGTATCTCTCATTTGACAAAAACACAAATAAGGAGTTTTGCATAACTAGTAATTGTGCCTTTTTTTTTTTTAATGGAAACAAAATAGCTTTTTATAATATGGTGTGTTTGTTACTGAAAACAGTATGAAGGTGTTTTTATGGTCACATTTCCAGCTCAAGACATTATTTTAGGGTAGATTATAGTCAAAAGAGCTGCCTAACTATTTGTTGCAGTTTTATCAGTAGAAAGAATGAATCTCCTATCTCTGAATTTACTGGGTACAAGGTCTTTCCCACAATAAATACAACTTGCCAAATCAAAAGCTTTCTGTGAAAGGCAATAGTTTTCTCAGTCAAAGCAACCAACCAACTTTGCCAGCAGAGAAGGGAAAAATGAGCTTTTAAATTATCTTAAAAATTAAGGCTTGGAAAAAGGAACAAATACATAATAAATCTTGGGATTATTCTTGTTCAGGCAGTATATTTTCAAACTCAAAAGCAGAGAAGCAAGGAAGCATGATACATGGACATGTGTATTCTCTAAAAGTATGCTACTTGGTTATTTTCTTACAATTGGAAATCAAATATCACTATAGCATAGGAGCTGATTTTTGCTGACAATCATGGTAGGTTAATATTGTGCCTACTAGGTAATGAAAAAACTCTAAAAGGAGCAAAATTTTGTAAGCTGACCTACATCAAGAAAATCCACAGGGGAAGAATTTGGCATAAAATTTGCCACCTGTTCCTTAATTTATTTACTGAATTGGATGCCCACACCTGAAAATTATTAAGCAAGGGAAACAGAACTGAGTACTCTTATCTTGGTCTGTGCTTACAGCAAAATTGGTAATTATTTCTGAATCAGATTATAAGGTATTAGGTGGGATTTATTAATGAAAAACTCAGATTTATAATTGGAAAACTGGTAGTTAATAAAATTAGTGTGACTGACAGATAATTGTTTCTTCCATTGGAAGTAACAGAATTTGATTTTAATAATACACGTACAAATTTGATAATACGTATACTTTGCATGTATATTTGCAAGCTACAAGTGCAGTGATATAATATTATATCAGTTGCCACCAGACAGTTAACAGTGGTATTTTTGCTGTGAAAATGAAAATCATACTGGAATTATAATAGAACATGCGGATTTGGAACAAAACCGAAAAGACAATGCACATTTACATATTGCCAATAGAACTGACTGTGCTATTAATTTCCTTCCCACAGCCACATAAAACAAAAGTTCTCAAACAGCATGAGTTTTGCTAATACCACTTGTTAAAGTAGTTAAAGTATCTTCACTGGGGCAGCACTAAGCTACTTAAATCAATAATGTGAATAGCTGAGAATGCAGCAGGTTATATAGAACTGTGTAGCCAATATTAGATAACACTGGTAAACAAGATGGGTTTACTAAGGGGGCCTTTCAGTCTTCATCTAACCACAAATGATCCAGCAACAACACGTGATTTTAGATCTCTATCAAGCTCTTATTTTCTTTAAAAGAGGCTCATTCCATTAATGTTTCAGAAATATTTAACAGTTTTTCTGTTTGCATTTGCAGCTGTAGAAGAAATTAAATTCAGTGTCAGATGCCTAAGCTTTCTTATGGTACATGAAACATGAATGAACATCAGTAGAATTCCATTGTACATTAAAAGTTTCTTAGACTTTCTAATATTCAGATCATCATAACTTTATGATTTATTAAGGATATTTAGAAATCAGCCATATAAAAAGGTATATTTCTGCTTTAAAAAGAAGTCATTATTATCAAAACTGTAAAAAGGAGCTTAAAAGCTATCAGTGCTTTTGAAATAAAAAAAAAGACAATCCTGTAACTTGTACGAACCATGAAAAAGGCAGCAAATATTGTTTTTCTCATAGTAAATTAACACTTAAAGAACATTTAAGGAATTTTAAAGATGGCATTGGAGAAAAAGGGGAAAGGAACCAGTCCAGTTTCAGTCTAGACGACAGTTTTTCTGTTGAGTTCTGTGAGAATTACATCAGGGTTATTTTTTATGCAAAGGTCATACTTTTAAGGGAATCATTCTTCAACTTGAAGAAGAGTCTGCAGTGATGGAAACTTAATTAAGGTAGGTGAAATAACCACCCAGCACCTGCATGCTTCAGAATGAAACAAAAGAGCAACCTTAGAGTGCAGATCACAAAATGTTCCCTGAAGATATTTTCTTTGAAGAAATACTGTAAAATTCTGAATCTTTTCTATTTTATTCACTGATACCATCATCTGCAGTCACTCACCATGTACTTTAATGAGACAGCTGTACCTGAGTAACAGAGTACATTCTCTTTACAGCTCAGGAACTTTGACTTTTCCCTAGGGCACTGGAGTCCAGCTTGCAAGCATCTGGCTATTTGGTTGGTGATGGAAACAGTTATGTTTTAGAAAACCAATGAAAAATATAAAACAACTATTGGCATCAAATGGCACCCTTGCTGACTACTTCTGTTTAGGGATCAAACAGGCATGACAGCTTGAACATGATGGTTTATCATTTCAGAGCATTATACTGATGTGTCAGGTCAGTCTGTAAGTTTTGTGGTTAAAACAGTATTTTTGCTTCCTATCTTGCCCTGCTCTGCTGACATATAACAACTAAAGTCGTGCATCCTAGCCATGTACCACTCCCATAAAAAAGGGATTGAATCATTTGTCATTAGAACTGATCATGTCTGCAGCTGGCAAATACACCTGACATGGAATTTCAGGATACCAGAGCTGTTGTTTAGCTGAAATTTACATTTACGTATTAAATCTGCCTCTGGAGGCTGTAGTGAAAGAAATCAGGTACTGCAGAAATACTCATTAATATTCTAAACAAAAAAAAAATGAAAAGACCAGATATTCTGCCACAAGATTGAAAAAATTGATTTTTAATATGGATAAAACCAGTGTTAGAAGTGATTCTTTTTAATTTAATGCATACTTTGAAAGGGATGACAAAAGAATTATTTTGTACTTACTAGTTAACATATTAACAGCAAGAGTCACCCCAAGTGTACCAAACTGAAAATAGACTGTGTAAGAGCAAAAAATGGATTAGACCGTCATAAAAATTGAGGTTTATGCACAGGAGGAAGATCACATTTGATGCCATTGCCCTTCTAAAACAGTAAAGTTTACCCATGATGATTTAAATTTTAATTTCCATGAAAAGAACTCTCAGATTTATTTTTGCTTAAATTTACTCTTTATAAAGTAAAATTAATTCTTATAAGCATAGAGGGGGATTGCCTGCAGTATAAAGAACAAGTAGTTGTTTGCAATTAAAAATGGCTAAATTTCAAATAAATGTAAGTAAATAGTTCTAACTTTGTGATTCACTATATAGATTTTAGTTATTGAAATCCAGACATCTTAGTAGATAATAAAATTAATACATGGGCTTAAGAAGGTAGGGTCAGGGAAGTCACACGTTCTGGGTTGTAAAACAGTGTTAATGAATAAAAAAAACACACTGTCTGGATTAGATACTACACATCTGATGCCATTTGTGCCTTCATCTTAATACCATCGTGGATGATGCGGTAGTCTGCTACTCTGCAGTAGCCTCTGATTTTCATCAAATTTGTATGGCCACTATTAATATGATTTTACTGTAATTATCTTCTTAAAATTCCCAGTCAGTCTTTACCGTGAAACAGAGTAAATTACCTGTGATCCCAAAATGTAATCCACACAGTCTGACCAGCGAAGTTTTCATGTAGGCCCCCTAAAGGATGTTGTCTACCTATTAATGCTTGCAGTGATAACAAGGGATGGCCCTTTGCAGCCTCAGATCTTCCTAAGGTCAGGGCAAAAGGAGTAAGAATCAGTCTCCGGACAGCTCCACTGATGTGTTAAAACTTTGACAGCCATCCAATCATAACCAAAATTGTTAGCTTCACCATCTAGTCAGTGGGATCAGGTGCCATGCGAGGTTTTTCTCAACTTCCACACAGAAAATTGAATGGATAACTATTGAGGATGCAGTTCATGTGTATATAAGCTCAAGATTACAGTATGGTCTTGCCAGACCTGAATATTGTATGTTCTTTGTCCATTAGCTGTTATAAAGTTGCCTTGGTGCTGCGGAGGACATTACTGATTCACTGGATTGAATATGCATTTCCAAGTTCTTGCTCAGCTTGCAGTCTGGCTGTGCCCCCGCTTGCTTCTCTGTGACTGTTTGCCCAAACAGGCTTCTGCTTCCAGAAATGTTAAGAACACCTATTAACAGTGCAACAGCCCATTCTTGGGAAGAAACCTATCAGGAATTTCTTCTGGAAAAGTCAGGTCCTTATTTCTCACTCAACTAGAAAGGAGTCCACTTTACTGTCATATGATTTACTAAAAGATAACAATCGCTTGGCAAGAAATACTGATGGTGTTAAAGAGGGACAAAATGATTACATAATATATATGGATATTAAACTACCTGGCATGTTACAATAAATAAGTTAGAACTAGGGATTTCTCTGGCTGAAAGCAAAGATGCCTGTGTTATCTGCCTGGTGGCTGTGCTCGCAACCCATCAAGGGAAGGACTGCTGAAGTAACCCTATATGCATTGGTTCAATCAGAAGCTTGACAGATGAGTGGCTTTCTGTAACCTATTTTGTTCAATTAAAAGGGTCCTTCCATATCTTAACATCTATAGAGAGAATTTTATCCTCTTATGGCCCATATCTGCTATGTAACTAAAATTAAAAAAAAAAATCATCTGTCACAGGCTTTGTGAAACCGTACATCAGCAACAGAAAGAGCAGGAGAAAGAGCCCAGATAGGCTTGTCAGGAAGACAGGTATATGTGACATGCTAATGTTGTAGCAATTTTTAAGACGATTGTTATCGGGTGTGATCTACCTTGGAGAAAATGCTACAGATGTACAGAATAAAGCCAAGAGCTGCAAATGTGTAAATGTGTTCCATAGCACTTTCTGGTCCTGTACCTTGTTAGGCAGATTCATGAATCTATACAAATCACTCTTAAGTCATTCATCTGACAAGTACCTGTTCAGAAGTCTTGCTTAGTTTAAATTTACCTGTGCTTGAACAACCAGGTTTTTTCCTGCTGTTTCCTACCTTTGGAGGGTTTGACTTGTCAATTTGAAAATAAGATACAAGTGAATACACAGTTGTGACTCTTGACTACCTAGGTCATCTTTGGTCAATCACTTAAATTTTGCTCCAGCTTTTGGATCGATAAGTTAAAGACATCTTTCAAGCATTGCTAAGCATATTGAAACAGTCAATGGCTAAATAAAGAAAAACTGTCCAGCATATGAATTGCAGGTATTCCATGATTCCTAGTTGCCTACTTTCATAACTGTTGAAAAATCATGAAGTTAGCAATTACTTAGTGCTTCTGTCATAAAGGCTGCCTGTTTTCAGTGATCCATTTGCATACATCATGTGTATAACCATTCTTTCTTTCTTTCTCTTTCACTACTGCCCTTATTCCTGCAGTATGTACGTGTGTCTTTTGACACAAAGCCTGACCTTCTTCTGCATCTGATGACCAAAGAGTGGCAGCTTGAGCTCCCTAAACTTCTCATCTCTGTGCATGGGGGCCTTCAGAATTTTGAACTTCAGCCAAAACTCAAGCAAGTCTTTGGAAAAGGCCTCATTAAGGCTGCTATGACAACCGGAGCATGGATATTCACTGGAGGAGTAAACACAGGTAACAGCAACATTGAAATGAAAGCAGAGTGGCTTCTAGGAGTTCGCCACAGAAAAAAATCAGGACTGATGAGATTAAGAAGCCATTCTGTATTTTATTGTATTAGTGTTGGCTGTACTATGTGCAAACAAGAAAAATGTCAAGTTCATACTAGCCTGAGAACTGCCAGAGAATAAAAGGTTTGCTAAAGCATGAAAAACACACTGGGGAGTTGAAAGTAAAGCCTCCCGTAAGGCAATTATATTAGTATATTGCCAGTGAAGACTTTGCAACAGTAAGCTACAGGGAGGAACTACTAATGAGAAACTGAAGTCGAACTCTTATTACATAAAATGGAAAAAACACTCATCCAGAAAAGACCTCTATTTTATCTTATAAGATGATCTGAAACATGAAAAGAAGAAAGATTCTGTGTTGTGGATGTGGTAGAAAGCTTTATTGTGAAGTATCACTTTTTTTTTTTTTTTCCCTTTCTTGTAGACAGCTTGACCTATTTTATTTTTTTTTTCTATTGCCCCTGCAGCAGGAACAATAACTTCACCATTTGTACTCAAAGAACATCTGTAACATCCTAGATGGGTGTCCTAGTGACCCAAGATAGCAGCTGGCCCAGCTCTGCTGGGAAAAAGCATGAAGGTTTTGGGAATAAGTTGCAAAATATGGTTCCCCAGATAGAAAAGGTTGAGCAGTGGCTTCCCATTTACCCTCCCTGGAAGAGGCAGAAAGAAGGACAGATTCAGGAGAAAGTCAAACAGTTCTGCTAGAGATAAATGCAAAAAGTTTTGAGCTGGGACAGGTATTAGTAGATTCTTATGTTATTCTCATTTGCTGCAGTAACAAAGCTATAATTTATTAATTTACTAATTGCACAGACTGTATCTTCTTGTTGTCTATGGAAAATATTGTAATCACTCTATCAGACATTATATTTAGTGGATTTTAGGTCAGCTCCTACATATTTGCATATGAATGCTTAATAGGAGTCTTGGGCTTTTTAGTTTCCAAAGCACATCAAATTTAACACTTGTCCTGGTTCAGCTGTAACAGTTATTTTTCTCCTTCCTAGTAGCTGGTGCAGTGCTGTGTTTTGACTTTAGTCTGGGAACAACGCTGATAACACACTGATGTTTTAGCTGTTGCTAAGTAGCTCTCACGCTGGTCAAGGACTTTTGAGTCTCTCACACTCTGCCGGTGAGGAGGGGCACAAGAAGCTGGAAGGAAGCAGAGACAGGACACCAGACCCAAACTAGTGAAAGGGGTATTCCATACCACAGCACATCATGCCCAGTATATAAACCGGGTGGGTTACCGGGAAGGCCCAGATCACTCTTGGGTCAGGCTGGGTATCAGGCAGCACGTGTTGAGCAACTGTATTGTGCATCACTTATGTTTATTGTGGGTATTTTTCCCTTTTTAGTTTTATATTCTCTCCCCTTGTTTTTTCTCTTATCATTATTATTATTGATGGTAGTAGTAGTAGTTTTGTATTATACTTTAGTTCTTGGACTGTTTTTATCTCAACCTGTGGGAATGACATTCTTTTGATTCTCGTCCCCATCCTCCTGGGAGCAGGGGGGAAAAAGGGGGAAGTGATTGAATGGCTGTGTGGTTCTGATTTACCGGCTGGGCTTAAACCATGACAAAACTATATTCAGTTTTATCACAGTACCAGTATAAATAGCAGAAAAAAGGCATAGCTTCTGGAGTGTCACATATGTAGAATATCCCCCATATCTCTGCAGAACAAGCAAGAAAGTCAGGTTAAATGTTAACCTGTATACTGTGATGTTAATAGTTATGTTAGCTGACATAGTAGTGTACTGAAGATGGCAGATATAAATTTTAAGTTAAAAGCAGATTAGAAAACTGTAGATAATGTATGCTTATTGCAGTGGATTACCATAGGAACTGTGGAAATCAGACTACAGAAATCTTGTAAACAAAGGCTGACTGTAACATGCATTTGGCAAATGCACATCTGCTTCATACCATTTCTTATATCATCATAGTTGCAAATGATGAAACAATACAAATGAATCAGGGAAGTACACATATTTACAGCTGAAAAGGATTTTTTTCCCTGTAATCAAAAATTACCTAAATAAAACAATAAAGCTGAAGTTGCTGAGTGTCATTTTAAAAACATGAAGTTCCAGAAGCAGTTCTGCATCACCAGTGATACTTCATTTCTGGTTTTGATTTCTGGAGGACAGCAGTTTATTGCTCTGGGGCTAGGTTTTCAAACTGTGTAGGTGAAAATTAAGTGTTTTATCTCTATGTGAAATCACACAAATTGGAACGTTCTGAGTACAGGCTTTTTTGTTGATGATGAATTTTTAAATCAGATTTCTCTTACGGAAAAGTATAATTGAAAAATTCTGAATTACTGCTGTTGGACTGAGAATCAGTGATCTGATAGGAATGGTGCATACATGACTGTTCAGTAACTTAAACAAATTGTTCTGAATATTCATGTCAGGCAGAAAGCTTATGATTCTAAGCTGCAGAATGTTTTCATAGTCAAGAGAGATTTTCTGTTTTGAATCCTTTGGGTTTCTGGATCGTAGATTAATTCATACTTGATTGCAGGTACAGGTTTGGTTGGGTTTTTTTTCTTACTTTTCCACCACAAGAAGGAAATTAGACTCCTGGACTTAAACAGTAAGTTGTGTTTTCTTACATGGTTCATTTACAGTGCAGAAAAACTACAGCTAAAAACACACCTATTGTGTGACTGTTGTTAAGTCTAATCTAGTCATCTTGAAAGTGTGGACTTCGAACAAGAAGCAAACACAGAACTGAGTTACAGATAGCATCCACAGCCAATCCACAGTTTTGTTTCAGTGCAGCCACATCACAAAAATAGTTATTGATACACAGCTAAAAAAAGTATTTTATGAAAAAGAAAGGGGAATGACACTTGTCTGCTGCAAAGAGATGCCACTGAAACAGTGACAAAGCTGTCCTAAAGCATGCAAGAAGCATTCTCAGAAAGCACTTGGAAAAGAGCTGGCACAGTCATTCTTTCTGTGCTAATTTTTGTTTTCTCGCTGATCCTCAGGCGGCTTCTAATACCCTGCTGGAAGCTATGTCAGGTGACTTTGTTTGGAAAGAATGGTAGACTAGCTCACCACAGGGTAGTGTAATGATGTTTTCACATTTACATCCCTTAGTCAGACAGAAGGGAACATTTATGTGCCATACTTTTTTTTTTTCTTTTTTGCAGGATGGAAGGAGGGTGTAATTCTTGTGCTTCTTTCTGTGTTAGGGAAGGATGCAAATGCTTACATGTGCATATATATTTGTGAAGACAAGTGCAGATAAACAAGTTACAGTCAGCTGTCAACATTTCTATTCCTGTCCCTAGAGCTGTGTAATTTTTTTCTTTCTACTTCATTTAATATTTTTTAGATTAGGTAAAATAGACTTACAATGTTACAGTAATAATAATCAACAGGAGTATATTCATGGCTTTCCTTAATTGTAAGTGCATGCACGGGTGTTTCCTAAAAAAGAATTCTGTACTAAATCCATACTAAGTCCATACCATAATGAACAAAAAGGTCATAATTATGGATTTTTGCTCTATGCTGTTTCTTCCCCAGGAGTCATTCGGCATGTTGGAGATGCACTGAAAGATCATGCCTCAAAATCTAGAGGGAAGATCTGCACCATTGGTATCGCTCCCTGGGGGATTGTGGAAAATCAAGAGGATCTGATTGGCAAAGATGTAAGCCCTATATGGACATAGATCACCCCAGTCTGTATAAGTCTTCCAGTTGTTTTTCCTCTCCTCTCCGTCCCTCACATAGAATTACATCTGCAGCAAAAAATCAGTATATATACAGGCTTTCCATTATGGTTGATACCCATTTTGACTTAGGAACAGTAAAAAATCCCACAATGTACAGTCATTAAAACTAAATTATAAAGAAAGTTTGTTAAAAAGTTCATTGAAAATACATTGAAGTTTCCTTCTTAGAACGCTATGACCCTGAAAAGTGCCTAAGAAAACACTGATTGCAAAGCTTAAAGTCTGATTCATTTTGAAACAGTACCATAATGTGTTCTTTTTTAAACCTATATGATCACTCAGAAAGATTAACCTCTCCTATTTTAAGTACATATGCAGTTTACTTATGCTGGTTATATGTTACCTAAAGCTTCTATGAACCCTATTTTTTAACCCTCACCTCTAGTTCATTCACAAACAATCTTCCTGAGAACCAGTGGGATAACTTGAGTGGAAAAGAGACATAGGCTTCATTCTGCATAATGAATGTTTTTCTTGTCTACATTACACTACAATATTCTTCTCTGGATGTTCATCCATTAGCAAGCTCAGGTGGGGAAGAACATTCAATTATCAGTTATGTCAGAAGGAATTACAATGAGTATGAAGAAATTGATCCGACTGGAATTCACTGCAATTCACTGCTAAAGTACAGCCATTAGAGGGAATTGTATTAGCATGGGGTTTTCTACTTTTAATACCACCAGTGCTTGTATAATAGGATTACCAATATATACAGACAGGACTTTGCAGCAGCAATTCTGAGTCACTAATAAACTCATCTAAGATGCAGTGCAAAGAAATGACCAGCAGAAATAGATAACTGCAAAGATGAGGTGTGTCTTGTTACCTAATGTACACATCAATTTCAAATAAGCAGTCTTTACTGACTATGCATAGAGTTCTGGAAGCTTCGTAGGAAGAAAGAAGACAAGAAAGTACATCAAATTAGTTGTGAATTTTGGGACTTTTTAATTTCTCCATTAGTTAGTTCAACCTGTTCGAAAACTAGCAGCCTCTGTTCACAGCTAGTCACCACCTGTTAAAGGAGCTCTCTTACAGAAAGAAATTGATTAAGAAAACAGTTTCTCAGCTGTTCCATCCAAATGGAACAGCCCCCCCCCCCCCCCCCCCCCCCCCAGTTTCTTGTTACATTAAGACACTTTTTCCTTTAAATATCCTTCAATTTAACAGGAAGCCAAGAAGTTGAAGGCAAACTTGATCATCAAACAGAAAGTGACAAAAGTTTAAAAATGCATAAAGAAAACAAATTTGGATAGTCTTCATTAAGGCAGCCACAATTATATCAGTAGGATTACAATTACAGGTTCATCTCTAAATAGTTCTGAAATGTATCTGTGATAGACAAAATTGAAGTTTTTCCACCAAGCCTCCTGGCCCCAATTATTTTCATAAAATGATTGATCAATAGCATGATGTAATGCTGAAGCACTTCTGGTTTTATTCATCTTTAATGCACATATAATGATACTGCTTTATGCTTACCAATATTAAATTTCAACTTCCATTTTATAGCCTACTCAGGCTGTTTTATGAAGACTTTTTTTAACTCTTCATAGTCCATAGCTTTTCACACTCTTCTTAACCTGGAATCTCTTACAACTCTGTTGAACAGAACGTGATGCAGCTTGAGGTAGACTACTTGTGTGAGTAAATCTTCATAGTAACAGTCTTTGCAAAAATTAATTTTTTCCTCCTTAATGTTTTCTCTCCCTTCCCCTCAGTTTTTCCCAGATACTAATACCTCAAAAGACTTTCCCTCTTATCCTGTGTGTGCATTTTCTTCAGAAACATTTGGTGAGGAAGCTTTTTGAAAGCTTTTTAAAAATCAAAGTGTACTGTATTGACTGGCTCATTAGAGGTCAATGCTGTGAAATGAACCAAGAAGGGGAAATATAAATAGTACCAAAGCATGTAAAATGAATCATCATTAAGCAAGAAACAAAGACCACAAAGGATTATGCAGGGTGGGGGGAAAAGTCAACCAATAGTAAAAGGCTTGTCAAACTCCAGCGTCAGTGTGGCTTTATGCCTATATGCACTATGTCTAGTTAAGTTATGATCAAAAGTGAAGAGTTGTCAAAACATACTCTTCCAGCATCAGGCATATACAGAAAATTGTCTTAGTCATGGGATTTGGGGAGGGAGAAAAAGAGGCGGGAGTTATTGCTGTTTCACATGACCCAGTGCATGTTGCCTCCTTGCACCTCGTGGCAAGTCAGGCATGCTCAGCAGAGCTGTGCTTCTGCTAATGCACCAGCCCTTGTCTTGCCTGTATAGATTTTGAAGTCATAGCTGAGGAGTTTTATTACATTTACCAGTCCATCTGAATCAGTCAGGCCTCAGGAATCCTAAGGGCTTTCCTCAGAGCCATAAAGAGAATTGGCTGAGCTAAGCAAAATATTACTGTTGTCTGCCATTTGTTATATTATGATGGTTAAAGATCCCTAAAGAGACCCATCTTACTCCTCTACTGTAAAAGCAATATAGCAGAAAATAGTGCTCCTCTCAACACACTTAGATTCTAATTTAAAAACAAAGCACACAAGGGAAAGGTAGTTAGTTACCTTACTTCCAATTTTCTGATAGAAGAACTGAGAAAGTAAGATAGCTCTCTCAGTCTTGTAGAAAACTTGGATTATAAACAAGTTTCTCCCAACATACACAGCCATTCTTCCCTTTAAAAGAGTGCACTTTGGGAGTCTTTATAGCATGCACATCTTTCTTTTCAGGATCTGTTTAGTCCTCAAGTAATCACTAAGTATATATTACTTATATATAATATAATATTATATTGATGGCTTGGCTTCGTGAGTGAGGATTTGGGAAGGGCTTTAACCACGCTTACTACAAGCACGATGACCAAGGGCAAATGGGATATACAAATCTGGTTGGAAAAAAGGGCGCTTAGGCAATCAGGGAGTATCCAATCAGGACTGTCATCTCCTGAGCGATCTCGAGCTACCCATGCGCTGGTCTGCCTGCATGCAAGGTTGGATCTGCAGCTACCCATGCACCTTGTCCCCTACCATTTCGGCCCTGTCCCGTCCATAGAGACAGGTGAGAGTGAGCCCTTCCAGCCTGTGCAGTGGATTTTTTAGGTGGAGCGCAGCTTGCACAGAACTGGCCCTACCCTTTACACCTGAGGTTTAACTGCCACGGCCTAGCTAGCTAGGACGGTGACAGTGAAGTCCACAGGTCGTAGGTTTTGTAAGAGTGACCTTCTCTTTAATGGAAGACCATACAAGGCTAGATGAGCTCCATCAGCCCGGGTGTGAAGATAGGAGTTTTCCTCCTCCTGTGAGGAAGGCCTGTCTTTGCTAACGAATTCGGTTAGACCTTCACCCACGCATTATGAACAAGACTGTCATCTCCTGGGTCAATCACAAGCGACCAATGATGCAATAGCACAACAAGTGTCTAGGCGGGTTCTTAGAGGCGTTCAGTCATAAGCCCGCAGATGGCAGCCTCGCGCCAGTGGCTCCTCAGCCAAGCGCATGCGCCAGGGGTCTGACATTGCGGTTCCTCTCGTACTGAGCGGGATTACTATTGCAACAACACAGCATCAGTGGGGTAAAACTAACCTTTCTCACGACAGTCTAATCTCACCTCACATTCCCTATTAGTGTGTGAACAATCCAACGCTTGGTGAATTCTGCTTCACAATGATAGGAAGAGCCGACATGTGTACACATATATATTATTGTCACTGGATTTGCTGTTACCAATTTTGACTTGATTTTGGTAGCTACTTTTCAGTTCCTTCCAGAAAGATGTTATTCTTTAAAAACAAATCAAATTGCTGGGAAAAAAAAAAAAAGAAAAAAAAAAGAAAAGATTACAAATAATTATAAATAGTTCACAGGTTTGTTTCGCTTTACCTTTTATCAGTGTCAAAATTTCAGTGTCCCGTTGCAGGCTGGGTCTGGAAATAATTACAATAAGGAAAGCTGAGATGAAAAGAAATTCAGCTATCTCATTGCAAGCTACAAGGTAGGAAGCATGCCTGGGGCAAAGCTGAGGACTAGCATATTTGTAGCATACACAGGGAATTTGGACCATCATGCTTCCAGGATCCTCTAAATTAAACCAAGAACTACTCTATTCTCTGGTGTACCCCAGAACAGTAAGGCTGTGAAGAAGGCTTAATTTGAACAACAGCTTCCCTGCTTCAAAGCATGGCTGCTGTCACATTCATTAACCTATGTTTAGAGGGGTTGTCTTGAACACAAATGCTGCCTTTCAACTCTGCAGAGAGGCATGCCAGGGGACATTATTCCCTCTTGTCAATGCAGAAGGAGGATGAGAGCACATTAAAGTCAAAGTTTTCCCAACCTTTAAACTTACCTGTAAATTGTAAGGGACTGAAAAGAACAAAGGAATGGGAACTGCAAGAGTGAGAAATTGAAAATCTGCTGAGTGTTGTGGAAAAGCAATTCACCTCAAGGAAACAGCATCAAAGCCTGGTATTTTCTTGCCTTCCTGAAGATTTTGCTTATCCTTTAATCAGGAAAACAGTCTGACAGTGTGGTTTGTGAAATTTGTTATTTAAAAAAATGTATTTCAGCTGTTGAATTGCGCATGCTGTGAACAGTTCAATTGAAAATGATTGTATTTTCATTTCACATCTATAGCATTTAAGATTCACCTTGTAGCTAAACAGCAGACACAGAACCAAAGCATAGCCTTCTAGTCTGCCCTGCAGCAGCTTTTCTAAGTCAGTGTGTGGAGTCGTTGGTGCTGCAGCACCAAAGAATTGCAGGTCAAGCTGTCACCATTGCGAAGTTTTGAGCTGTGGCTCTTGGGCACAAACCAGAATCTGTCAATAGGATTGCATACACAGCAGCTTGTAATCATACAATGAATGAGCAACTCAAGTCATTCCTCTTCTATTAGATCATGCTGACCTCTGCCCATTACATTATTGAGAGATGAGGCAGGTATTAGTTCAAAAAATCTGTAACTGTTTTAGTTTGATTTTATTTGTTTTTAGGTGTGTGTGGAAGAGCCTATTTTTTCTTTCTGACTGTGGCATGGGACACATGATTTCTATATCTTCAGAAGCTAGTTAATGAACATATTCCAGCTACATATTGATATTTGCTAAGCTATATATGCCTGCAAAATAAATGTTTTATGAATGGGGCACCAAAAGAAACAGGATAAAAGAAACTTGAGCCAAGGCTATCACCTGTTCTCACAGTGGAGTGCACTGCCTTGCTGTTGGCCATCTGCCTCTTGGTCCTCAGCTGGGACTTCATTTTACAAATCTTCAGGAGTTATGTCGTTCTGAAAAGACAAGCCATACATAAACAATGCATTTCTAGCAAATGTCTTTGAATAATCAACCAGGATCCCTCGACATGGCACCAGTGCTTTTGCGACAACAATGCAGTTAGCCTTTCTTATGTCATGGGATACCCACTATGACAGCTAACAGCCAAATGAGATGCAGTGCTATTATTTTGCCTGTCTAGAGGCAACAAGGTACTGCCGGTAGAAGAGTTTCTCATGATGAAAACAAATTAAAGGAAGTGTAGCAAATTTTCTATTGAATGAATCTTTCTAAAGCTGTTGTGAATGCCAGCAACTGCCTTTATACTATACCATTCTTAAATGAGCCAGTAGTTTTTTATAAGGAAATTGAAAATGTGGCATAATAATGCATGTACATCTCTCCAAGAGCTTCCAAGACACCTCTGTTGATGTGTATGCAAAGGACCTCCTGTGTTGATGGCTGTGAATGGGCTAGAACGGGACATTGTGCTTGGTAGGGTTTGCGAAGGAAGAATCAAAGATTTCAGTCAGATGAGGTGAGGATTTATGGCAACACTACTGAAAGACAGGATGTACAATGTGTGTGTAGTTAGACCTTTGGAGGACTGACTGTTAGCCTGACTTGACACTGAAACAGTGGTCATTGATGGTACTGAAACAGATTACTATGGAAAACCCTTTAAATAGTGTCTGCATCTAAAAGGCCAGTGTTTACAGGGTGTGGCCACACTGGTCTAAATACTAAGGTTATTTTCTACTTTACACATAGAAGACAGCCAAGCTTGAGTGTAGTACTTAAGCGATTTTTATTTTTTTCTTTTGTATCATCTTGTCAGCTGGCAGCTCATAATTGGTTTAGTACAGAGAGTCTTTTCTGTTTAGTACATTTTTTTCTCCTCTGGTTCTAAAATGCAGGTGGTCCGGCCATACCAGACGATGTCCAATCCCATGAGTAAGTTGACAGTGCTCAACAGTATGCATTCTCATTTTATTTTGGCTGACAATGGGACTACTGGTAAATATGGAGCCGAGGTGAAACTTCGTAGACAGCTGGAAAAGCACATTTCACTTCAGAAGATAAATACGAGTGAGTAACATTCTATTTGTATTCTTCTATTGCAATTATATCAAAGACACTATGAGTTTAAATAAGCAATAAGGTCTGTGTATTTTGGGAAGTAGTTCTACTGTCTAAAGTGGTGAGCATGAGCTAATAAAAGCAAATAGTGCTCAACAAAGATAGTAAAATTTTATTTTAGAATCTGGGCACAGCACAAATAGCTGATTTTGTTTCCAATAAGTTTCAAACAATGTTTGTCAAGGCTCTTCAGGTTTAGCTTAGGTCTTTGCTACCCCCAACTCCCTAAAACATTGTACAGTTCTGTTCCCTACATTTTGTAAAGAGTGGAATTAGTAAAGGTAGAGAAAAGGGTGGCAAAAAGGAAGGAAGAGCTTTTTATGGTACTTTGCATATTGGATGAGAGGTGGTTTAAGTGCGCAGAGTTATATAAAATCCTGCAGTTTGAGATAGTATGATCTAATCCTAGGTTGACCAGCAACAAAAATTCACATTTTAAAATGGCATACATGAAGTAATCAAACTGTAGGAAGCTGTGTCAGAAATAATAATCATTTTGAGAACATTTATAGGAAATATGTGAGATTTTGTAGTTTACAGCACAATATTTTATTGGGGAAATCTTAATTTTAAAAAATAAATTTCTTTAGAGAGATTTAGCATAATTCAGTTTTGGACAAGAGGCTTATCTGCTGAAAAGCAGTTGATGGATAAACCTTCAAACTTTGATGATTCAAGTCAAATTCTTGCCTGTCCTCTGCAAACACCTACAAAAAAAATGAACGATTTCTCTTTTCTGGTTTCTGTCTGCATCATTCTCTCCTCACCTGCCAGCAGTATCTGTTTTCCTTCTCTCTTCCCTTTTCTCTGAGGCACTCTATCTTCATTTAACCTCTTCCTTCAAAATCTCACTCTCTTATAAACTAAAACCACTTTGGTCTCACAGCACTTCTTCAAAATACTTATGTGAGAGAGCTGTTAAGAGGCAGGGTTGCTGGTAAGATTTGTATGTCTTGGTTCAGTTACATCCGGAATGTGTCTGCCACATTTTGTTTTCCTTTGTTTTATAAGAAGGTGACTGAGTCCTGGTCGGCCTATAGTTAATGGAAAGGTGACCATATGGATGAGAGTAGTTACCACATGTCCTGTTGGGTCAGCCAAACAGATGGTCACTTTCAGGTGCCTTTGCTTACCCTCTTTTCTATCAGAGCAATGGAGATCCTTCACCCTCTCTATATAGAGGCACTGCCATAAGGGCATCTTCATCCAGACAGGAGTGTGTGCAACCATGTGTGTGTCATTCCCATTTTCCAGTAGTAAGCATATGGGGTGGGGAAGGATACTGACAGCATCAGACTTTTGTTTGCTGGAGAGCTGGGAAAAGGTACAATTTTTAGGTAATCACCAAACAAAGGAGCAGAGGGCAAGAAAACCAAATAAACGGTAACTTCTTATTTCACCCCCTATCCCTGGACAATAGTGCTGAAAGCAGATTTTATTCTTATTTTTAAGCCTGCCTGACTTTTACATGGTAGGCTTGTCATTTTGTCTTATTTACATTCCTTTGCTTCAGCTGTCTTTCTCCAGTGCAGTTCTCTCTTCTGAATATTAGGGATCACACACTATTCACAAAGGAAAATTTCAATCTCGCATATTAAAGACAAACAAAACTGTATTCCCTTCAAATAGACTAGGACAGTGGCAGTCTCTTTTATAAAATTTAAGATTAAATCAGGTCATTAGATATGCCAGACAATTCTGAAAGACTCAGCTAGTTTTGTTCCTAATATGGCATCACTCTCTGTCATTCAGCAGTGTCTAATTTCCTGAATGAGTGTACTATTAAATGATAATGATAAAAAGCTTGCCTTATGCCCCCCTGTGTAGACTAGAGCATAGATTTCATTGACATTCTGATTCCACTTTATCTTTTCAGCTTTTACAGCTCCCATAGCTCTTATTTTGTCCACAGCAAATATTCAGGAATTAAAAAATGCTTTCCAGGGAAACAGAGGGTACAGTTGTATTTGTGGCTCAGTCTGAGTTGGCAGGCTCAGGACAAAGTAACTCCATTGTGCATTTAGCTAGAGGTCAGTTTGATGGTTCAATGTCCAAGGCAGGTCTTCCTTATTTTCACAAGTGAAGACTATTTTAACACACACCAGCAACCTCACAGTAAGCCACAAGATGTCTCAAATTCATGGTTTTGAATTGCATCATTTTGTAGTAAGAAATGCTGAAAGTAAGATGAACTTTTCTAAAACTATTTCAATATCAAAAGGAAACATTTGAAGTTCATGCAGAACAAGCTTTTCCCTTTCCTTGCCTTCCCTTGCCTTCCCTTGCCTTCCCTTGCCTTCCCTTGCCTTCCCTTGCCTTCCCTTGCCTTGCCTTGCCTTCCCTTCCCTTCCCTTCCCTTCCCTTCCCTTCCCTTCCCTTCCCTTCCCTTCCCTTCCCTTCCCTTCCCTTCCCTTCCCTTCCCTTCCCTTCCCTTCCCTTCCCTTCCCTTCCCTTCCCTTCCCTTCCCTTCCCTTCCCTTCCCTTCCCTTCCCTTCCCTTCCCTTCCTCTTCCCTTCCTTTCCCCTTCCCTTCCCTTCCCTTCCCTTCCCTTCCTTTCCCTTCCCTTCCTTTCCTTTTTCCTTTCCTCCTGCTTGCATTAAGGCCTTCAGTTCATGTGGTATAGAATCATAGAATCATAGAATAGTTAGGGTTGGAAAGGACCTTAAGATCATCTAGTTCCAAACCCTCTGCTGTGGGCAGGGACACCTTACACTAAATCATATCACCCAAGGCCTCGTCCAGCCTGGTCTTGAATACTGCCAGGGATGGAGCATTCACAACCTCCCTGGGCAACCTATTCCAGTGCCTCACCACCCTAACAGGAAAGAATTTCCTTCTTATATCCAACCTAAACTTCCCCTGTTTAAGTTTTAACCCATTACCCCTTGTCCTGTATAGTTGTTGCTACTAACTGAACTGTTCTAACTGAAATATTCTCAAATACTTAAAAAGCTTACAATATGATTGCTATCACTCCCATCATAAATGTCTACTTTCCTTCATATGAATAATCTTACTGGAGCAGTGGAGAAAGACAAAGACAGAAATTGGTTTTTACTTGAGATGATCATGTGTAGCCTTTACAAAAGTTTTTAATTTGAATTAAAAAGATTGTGAATTAATTAGAAATGTTTTAAGTTTTTCTTTAGAAGGACATGTATAATCATCTATCAGCAGAATCAGAATATGAACGTGGTGCATAGTGTAGCATAGCATAGCGTAACAAACAAAACTAAACAAACCTCTGTATTTTGCCCAAGAATCACTCTGCATTGCTCAGTCAGTTCCACGCACCAAGTATGCTGGTGTTTCTTACAAAGATTACCTTAGGCTGTGAAGCTCCACCTTGTGATATTCTTACTCTTCTTTTGATAAGTACACACTTGGAAGAATTATGTCCTAGACCATGTAGGATTTCATGTGGAATATTACTGTTCACTATCAATCTGCAATGTTCTTAATTTAAACATGCTGTTTGGTGCTGAAGGTTTGCTCTGCCTCTACAGTATGCTTTTTGAAAACAGACAGACCACAGGCATTGGTTCCTTTGTTCCTTGTATTTAATCTTTCTTCTTTATAGTGTTAGTGGATACAGTTGAGTTTTGGTAGGCCTACAAGAAAGGAATTACCTCCAAGTGAGGAATTGATTAAGTAGAATGATTGGGTAGAGAAGGCAATTTGGACAGTGTAATATGTCAACAGTATCTGTTCATGTGACCCGTGGACTTCCCTTTGTCATCCTATGCCTGAGAATATATGAAGGGGGCTGGGACGGCAAAGGGACGTTCAACTGTCATCACTGGCATCTTCTCTGACCATTGCACCATCATCAAATGCATTAGAATTGTCATTTGCTTCAGATTTTTCCTTCATATTCTGTGCAACCCTAGATGCATTTTCATAACTACATAGCTAGAAAGATGTAGGTACAGACTTCTTTTTAGGAGAGGAAGATGGCTGCAAGTTTAAGTTCTGTGAAATATGCATAAAACTCATAAGTGTTTGAACCTTGATTCATTTCAGATTTTGTTAGAGATTGGAAACTTGGGGCTTTTCATCAAAAGCATCATGATGTTGGTGGATCAGGCGCTGGTGATAAATATACCGCAGAAAGGGCTGAGAAAGAGCATGCTCTTAAAAAGTGTTCTTGAACACAGATAAATACGCAGTTGATTGAGTGCAAGTGGGTTCATAAATTCCTCGCATGGACTTGACTTTCAATAGATAAGTTTATGGAAAGCATATGCGGTTTCATACGATTGATGTACAAATGAACCAACACAGGTAATTTAAGCTCTGTAATATTTGGATGTTTTAGATTTATTGAATTCACTACAAAAATCAGGACACAGATGTAAAACTAAGAATCAGAAATTATTATCCTTTTTAGCAAAATTTGTGCTGTTCTGTATTTCAGCTGTTGTAGTTTTCTAGAACAGGTGAGCAAGGGATCATTTTCTGAGATTATATAGTGTCAAATATATTGAAAAATATGCAAAATATGAAAAGGAAAGGCTCCTCAATATGAAATTTGAGGTAGTAGAAGCTGGTTATGTTATTGTGATAACTTTCTGAAGCGCTGACTACAGTATGTGGTATTCACATATTCACATCCAAAGGGAAAAGTACCAAGGAAGACTAGACACACTGTGAAAATTACTGAAACTATAGCTGCTCCTGAGTCTTCTAGGCCATTACCTACAGCTGATATTTCAAGAAGAGTGAAACCAGTTGGGTCCTGTACTGCTGCCCTAGTAAACAGTTCACTGCTAGGACAGATAGGTTAAGTTTTAACTGCAATCCATAAAGGTTCTTGTGGATGTGACTTGAAATGTCAGCTTTGAACAATATATTGCCATCCTGTAGAAAGTAACCAAGTGGGTTGCTATGGGCTTGTGAAGCTCACAAATCCCAGTGTTTAGTCTTACATAGATTGCTCCAATGTCTTG